ATGTACACAATTAGTTACATCATTTACGAAAATATTAAATAATAGGGGTCCTAATATGGATCCCTGTGGTACTCCCGAAGTGCACTCATATTTTTGAGAAAAGTGGCCTCTGATCACTACGTATGAAAATCTGTTCTTTAAATATGAAGCAAACCACGAAAGTAATGGTCCTCCGATTCCAAACGATGATAGTTTCGCTATCAACAACTTGTGATTAACCCTGTCGAAGGCTTTGGAGAAATCAGTATAGATAGCATCTACTTGTTGACGTGAGTCGACGTAGGGTGTTATATAATTCATAAAACATGAAAGGTTTGTGACAGTAGATCGAGATGTCATAAATCCGTGTTGGTTGTCTGAGATAGCGTGGCGGACGTGGCGTGACAATATAGGCGAGATCAAGGACTCGAAGATCTTAGAGACAACTGATAATATTGATATGGGTCTGTAGTTGGCAATATTATCTCGATTCCCTTTTTTGTACACAGGCACTATTCTTGCAAGTTTCCACATATCTGGGAAGACTCCGGTACTGAGGGATCTATTAAAGATAATACAGATAGGCAAAGACAACGCTTTAGCACACTTCTTAATAAACGAAGGAGGAAGATCGTCGGGTCCAGCACCTTTCTTTTTGCGTCGTCTTTTTATTTTTTTTTTATATACTACTTCCTTAACATTGATGTTTATTAAACAAAGATTGTTTTCAGTAACTGTTTGTAGGGGAATGTTTGTGCAGGGTAGGTCTCTAGTCTCGTAAACGGAAGCAAAGGATTCAGCAAAGAGATTGCACACTTCTGGGCCATCGGTAGCAACTTTACTGTTTAGTACCATTCTGGCTGGGTACGTGTTTGATGGTTTTTTTACGTTTTTTAAGTGTGTCCAAAAATATTTAGGATTTTTTTGTAGGTTACTTTTCAACGCATTCAATATAATTATTATAACTTGTTTTAATTAATTTATTACAACTAAACCTTAGTGATTAAAATTTGAGTATGTCTAGAGGGTTATTGTAAATTCTACTTTTTACTCGATATTTATTTTTAAATTTTAACATAGAAATTAATTTATTATTATACCATAAGGGAAACTTTGTACTTCTAGGCTTAGTCTTTGGCACATGTTTTATCGATTATTGATTTTAATTTATGATAAAATACATTAAGCATTGAGTTTACTGAATCGCAATTTAGTAAGAGTTCTAACCATTTTGTACCATCTAATTCGTTCTTAATGGCCTCATAATCTGCTTTAAAGAAGTTGTACCTTTCATTGAGCTGTGCATTGATCGTATTAATCTTCAGAAATCGAGCTCTAGGTTAAGTGACGGATGATGATTATCAATTATGCTTATTGGATTGAGGTTTTGGCTAACTGACACATGGGTATGATTTGAAAGAACCAAATCAAGCATCCTGCCATTTGCGTTAACTATTGAATTGAATTGTTTTAAATTATGTTCCTCGATAAAATCAACAAAAGTAGACGCTAAGTTAGAACTACTAAAGGGGTGTAGACAATTTAATTCCGGTACTTTCGACCAAGAAATACTACTAATATTGAAATCCCCCGTTAGCATGACGTATTCATTTGTATTAATAGCTTTGGACGCATTTTCTAAAAATTCACTTAGCACATTGCTATTTATCGGAGGTGCCAAGTATACTACGCAGATTGCAACATGACTTGGTTTACCATCTATAATTATATTAACCGTAATCCATAGATCTTCGCGGTTACTCTCCCAATGCAGGCAACGGCTTGATTTTAAGGTATTTTTTTTTTGGGGGTCAATTTGCTCCCTAACGGCTATCATTACCCCTTCCCCCCCCCCCCCCCCCATTTTTGATTCTTTTTGGGTCTAATTGCTCCCTATCTCTCCTGTATACCGTATAGCGATCATCAATAAACTCACTATCGAACACGCCGTCATTAAGCCAAGTTTCTGTAAAAATTACGATGTCGAAGTCATTACATAGTATGTTAAGTTTTTACACATCGCGCGTTTTACTACGAATCCCCCTTACGTTGTTGGTAATATATATTTAAGGTATCGTATGTTACAGAATTTCGATAAGAGACTAGACAGATAAGCACTTCACTATTGTAATTCTTCGAGCTGCTCGATGTTACGCACGACAATATGTTCAGAATTATCGGTTTTTCTTAATAAGACACGACCATTTTTAATCCAGACAAATTTGTATTTTAATTTCTTTGCTGTCGCTCTGGCAAGTGCGTGGATTTTCTTCAGCTCCGGGGTCAAATGTTCGACTACAAATATAGGTTTTTTGTCGCCACCTATCCCGATATGGCTTGTATTTAGTTTTTTCATCGGTGTTTCTTTTATTGAAATTTATTACTCCGGCTCATTTATGGATATCAGCGTCGGATATTTTACTGCCAGTAATCTTCCCTATTTGTGTAATAATATTAGGTATATTTTCGGCCCTATGTTCCGGAACACATTGTATCTCTAGCGTCCCTTTATTTTATTTTCTATAATTTTGCTAATATTATTTTCTATTTTGTTTAAAAATGTATTCATCTCATCTTGAATTATGTGCTTTATACTCTCAAGAGTAAGAGATTCCTGATTTTGAGTTAGGTGCGTAGGTTGTGTGCGTCTAATTGTGATGTTACTGCTCGTGTCTCGAGGTGAGATTCCAGAGCTGCGAACAGGCGTGTCAGAATTATCACATTTTGGTTGCTTTGCTCGGCAAGTCGGGAAAACCCAATTGTTTTTAAAATCAGTAGAAATTTCTTTATATTTTTTGCTGCTGGTATTGATACAATCGTAATGGTATTTAAGACTGCATGTAATACATTTAAGTTGCTCTTGCGTAGTAAGTTCTTCAGAGCACGCGCCACATTTTTTGTTTCTCAAGGTTTTTCATCTTTGCGGAACAGGTGTGGTAAAGTGAGCAAAAAGTTAATACGGTGACTTGCTATAGATTATTTTACAGGCGCTTACATGCAATTGAATATGATGTGACGTAGATGCGGGGCGATCGCGAGTTGTCCTAGGTCAAGGAGTTTTTGATTTATGGATGTTTTGTAGATACAAAATGCGATTACTCACGAACCCCTGCACCGAATTTGACGACCCAAACACTTATCACTTTTAATATAAGGATATTGAAACAGTCTTAAATAAGAAGTAATTTATTTTTATAAGGATTAATACCAAGATACAAATAAAGAGCCTTTTCTAGCGGTGGCATTTCAATCAAAATTTTAAAATAAAAGAACACTTATTGTGGCATAACCATAATAGTTAGACATGCTGTCGTGACACTTTTAGTAAATAATGATATGTTCTGCAAAGTCGTAGTACATTATTTTATTCTATCATCAATAGTTTTCGCAGCGCAGGCGATGTAAAGAATATTTTTGGTAATTTTTGTACACTTCGGGTTACATTATTGAAGTTTTAGTAAGGATCCCTATTTTTTTTTGAAAATATAATATAGCCTATATCTAGCAGGGATAATGTAGCTTCCCAACAATGAAAGAATTTTTCAAATCGGTTCAGTAGTTTCGGAGCCTATTCAATACATACAAACAATCAAATCTTTCCTCTTTATAATATAGATAAGGCCAAAATCAGACGTTATTATTATTGGCGAATTGACAACTCGGGAACCCAAAAATAGTGTTCTTTGCTTAACTTATCCGTGATTTGTCTACTGTAGATTAACATGTAGATGTATTACTTACTATAGATTAATGGATAAACATTGATACCTGTGCCAAAAAACAGCTATTCACGTTGTCACGCTCAAATGCAAAAACACATCATTTAGAAAAGCGATAAAACCGTTATTTCAGGTCGCTGAATCACTCTGGTTGAATGAAATGTTGTCGCATCCAAGTTTTGATCTACTGTAATAGTCTCTCACGGTGAATTACTATGTCAGTAAATCAGTTTTATGGTGCACTTATTTTGTTGAGACACTAGATGCATCGCACTCGGCGCATTGTGTGACAAAGGACTGCTGGACAGAACTTACATGAGAAAAAAACTAATGGTTGTTTTCGTCCATGTTACTACCGCTTTAATCGTTTGACTCATTGATATAAATGTTTAGTTAAACGGCTTTACAGATTAATTATAAGTCCTTTATTCCACGAAAATGTTCTTGTAAAATGTTTTTGAAAATGTTCCAATAAAATATCTTTTAGGATTTTAACTACCTTTACTTTCATCAAAGTTTCTTAAAGCACCTTTCGGAAGGTGTGAGTTCTTAGAAACCTTCACGTAAGGAAATTGCCAAAAAACATGAATTATGAACTGCCGACTCTTCTCCCAGGGAAAATGTCCCTTTGAAACGCACTAGCTGAGCATTTTGGGGTGTGGAAAACAAAAAGTCGTTTTTTGTTTGTACTTTTTGAACATTACAATTATCCTTGTAGTAAAAGTTTTTTTCTAACTGAAATGTTCATCAATTTTGTGAATACAAAAACAGACCATTCACTAAGTAATATAAAATACAGTGATAATATTCACTGCCGTGATATTTCAGTGCCGGGGCGCCCGCCTTTAATTCAACACGCTCAAGCAGCCTCAGTCAAATCCCGATGCCGGCGCCAATGATATTGTTTACGGCTAAGTGCTGACTTATCAAGTGCTCAGCGGTGAAGCAAAACATCACAAGAAAACCTGTACATTTTCTAAATAATAACAAAAAAAATGTATTTCGCAGATATGTGAAGTCCGTCAATCCGCAGTGGGGTCTATGCCCTAATACCCTCAATAAGAGGAGGTAACCCAAAACTTACAGCGCAAATTTTTCAATGGATACATAATAAATTATTACGGGCATGTGAGAGCGATTTAGTGAGAGCACTTAAAATCTACAAGTGGTCGGGCTATATGAAACGAAACTTCGAGTGTTTATTTTGATGGACAAATTGATTGGTTACTGTTGACAGAGCAAAACAAACACGGCCGCCTTTGTCACGGATATATTTCCACCGGTCAATGGAGGCGTAGCAGGATGTTTATCCGAATACATTTGAACGAACTTCGATCGGAACATTTCCACGTTTATTCGGCGACGCACGAGCGAGCATCTGGGGCAGTAATTTGTGCCGACATAGAATGCCTCTTCTTCCACGAGATCATATCGCTACAAGTGTCACACCTCGAGCCATCACTAAGAGAAGCTGCAAGAGTGCTAGGAGCTTTTAAGGAAGACTAACGAGGAGTGCTAACTCTTCAGGTAGTGTGGGTGGTGAATGGAATATTTTACGCTTTGCACGTTAGCCACGACGTAGCGGCCAAGACTTTGGGATCTTAAATAACGTGGTTTTGAATAAGGTTTTCCGCTAAACAGTTTTCCATGTTTTCGAATTGATTACCTTGTGGTTACATGGCTCAACCACTTTACTGTTTTCCTTATTTATTTCTATGCATAGAAATAAAACTAAAAATACAGTTTTAACTGTGGTTACGCCACGCTGCGCTCTTCACTATTGCACGAATGGCCAGGTTTGTCACCACTACCTCACAGAAGACCAGCGTGATGTAGACGTGTTACACTTCTGCGTTTCGTCTGGTGAGGTAGCCTGGGCCCACTTCAATATAAGGTCGCAACAAATCTACAACCCTACGCGTGTTGCAAATGTCCATCGGCGGTGGTTATCAGTTAACTTCAACTGAAACGCCAGCTCGCTTGTTACCTTTCTAGATAAAAAAGTTAACACAAAAGTAAATTTTTGTATCAAAGTAATTATACTCCCACCTAATTAGTGTGTGCACATGTTGTAAGGCTAGGTTTTTTACGAATGCTTGACGTTAAAACACCCTTCCTTCCTTGGGGACAAATACCCAGATTAGAAACAATTATCTGCTCAGTCACAAAAATACTTGTCCCATGGCGGAATCGAACCCACAACCCCTGACACCGAAGCCAAAAGTTCAGAAACTGTGCCACCAAGTCATCTTTTTGTATTAAAGTAATATATTTTGTATATTTTACATAATATATTATAATAATATAAATGTGAAAGGAAGAAAATTTTTATCACGCAGTAGATTTGTACATTGTATGTGGCATACCACATAAACTATTAAATTTTCTCGGTTTTTTCCATGAATTCTGTTAACAGTTCAAATTGTCCTTTTATAATGAACAAAATAATATTCAAATTATCAAAAAAAGAAAAATCATTATTAAATAAACAAAACAATTTCTTTTTTGTTTGTACTCAAATTCATGTCACTTGATTAAGTATTCTGCGATTATAACAACTAAACAAATGATATATTACTTTACCTTTGATTACTTGTATGCAACGTAATCATTGTATTTAACTCGAAATTTTTCATAATTAAACAAAGGACTGCGAGCTGGATACGTGCGAAATTCTTTTAACTTTTTCCGATTAAGTTAACGAGGGAAGGAGGACGCGGCTCGAGCGCTTACGTGAGATTGCTCCCAAAAGTTTTGTTCGCATCGGGATTATTGCCCCCCACCCCGACACCCCCCACCCCGCCAAACCCCGCGCACGGCTCTATTGGAGGCGACCCCTATTTGCATAACAATCGAGCTACTTAGTTGCTTAAATATTAACTCGAATATTCCTCTTTATTGGTCGTGAATCCGACCCGCCGCTTGTTTCGAGTGCCGCGCGGGGCCTCATACATTACGCTCATTCACATTGGGATTTTATCATTGACCTTAAAATTTAACCCTGTCAGTACCAGTTCAACTTTTTTGGGGGGCGTTGGGGCCGAACCCAAAGGATAAAACGGGACCCTATTTCTAACACTCCGCTGTCTGTCTGTCTATCATTCTGTAAAAGACAAAGATAAGTAGTCGTAACATGTAGTATTTTCTATACTTCCTTTCACTGATAATATTAATACATTATTTTTAATTACAAGTTTATCCATGCCAGCGCATTGTAACAAGTTATTTAAAAGTTTAAATCAAAACACATCGCTTGATAACCGGAAATTCTCAAAAAATATATGAGACTATTCTACTCTACGGCGATAATCGTAACTTCCGTGAGCTCGACATCACGATAACGAGTTAACATAAAATATTAGTGCAATCTCCATGCAAACTTCTCCCCTTACCTTATCGCTTAAACGTTATATCGATAGGCGTAACATAACGTGAATCGAAAACGATATAACTGTGGCTATTGGTTTAATTTAAGGAATTTGAGTTTCCAAGAGTTTTTACACGTGCAAATAATCGGTGTATCATATTTCGATGTTCAGAAAGGACGCTGAATACTGAAAAAAATATAAAATTATACTGGATCTTCAGTTTTCCCAATTAAATCACTTTTCATATTTTTGTACTGACCTTCATATAGTCGACTGTCCAATTAACAATCTAAAGAAATTTAGTTATCTCAAAAATATTAGAATCAACATCTGCTAAATGTATGCTTAATATAACATCAACGTTCCTTTCATAAAATTTGAGGCAAAATAACAATCGTTAATACAAAAGCCTTTCGCGATAGAAACCAACAGCTTATAACATTTATAAGCTCTTAGTTTCTCAAACGATGATCCCTATGAAGGATCACCTAAAATCGGAGGCATCATATGTTTTATATGATATAATTTTACGCGATCTGACGGTACACCTGATGTTAAGTGATTACCATCGCACATGGGCATCTACAACATCACTGAGATGGCAGAGGTTACCAAGTTTTAAAGAATTAGGCCCCGTTACCTCACTCACCAGACGAAACACAATAATAAAAAATTACTACTACATCTCGGTCTACTGTAAAGTTGCGGTACTCCAACGTACGAGCATGTCCATTCGCTCAGCCCATGGTCTCAGTCTGGTCGGCCCATGAAGCAGAATCTGCTTAACTACCTACCACAGTTAAATTCATTCAATATTACATTCATGTCCCAAGGATCAAGAAAAACGATAATGTATCTCGCTTTTAGTTATTACCTATGTTTAGTATAAGGCCACATAAAGCTGCAAAGAGGGTATATCTGTTGCTCGTTAGTTACTGAATGTAAACTGACCAAAATTAACGGTGTGCCGCAAATTGTGGAAATGAAAAAGTTGGTACAAATTAGTAGAGGGGCTCCAGACGAAGCTACCATTATGCAAATGGAAGCAAATCGTGTTAATTCACACCGTCGACCGCCGGTAATTACTTTGTGGGCCTCGGCAATCTATTCAAAATTGAGACACCGAGAAACCTTTGCTACTTTGATTAAACTCAAAGAAAACCTCCTATAAAACTTATTTAATTTTTTTGCAGTTTTTGCATCATTCTTTCGTACCTTACTATTACTCAAAAACTCTTGGGATAAAAAACAATAATAATAATATATAAATAAATATTTCAGACACATTTTTACACAACTTTTACATAATTGTGTATTCGTACAACTGATAAAAAGCTTAAACATACTTTTTTTTGTAAATAAATAGGTATATATATATATATATATATATAATATAAGCATCCGGACAGTAGAAAACACAATGTTCATCACGCAAAATTTGTCCAGTAGTGGGGATCAAACCCACATCCTCTGGCGCAGTTGGCAGGTACACTACCCACTACGCCATCTAATCGCATTTCAACTTGAATATATCCGATTTGGTAGGATGAATCTAGCTTTAAAGTTATAAAAGAATTTCGAAATTTATTTTTAAACAATGTTCCACGTTTATAACGGACACGTCCATTACAAACGCGGACCGAAATCACAACATGATAACATGAGAATGTAACATTCAAATAATTTTCGAAAATCTTCATTAATAGTTACAGAGGAAAAAAAATACACATTCCAACCTAATTAAGACAAAACTAATTCATGAATATAGCCATTTCCACATTTTAATAAACTGATAGTACTGGTACGTATACGAACACAAGAATACGAAACGATACACTACCATAACATTGATATGTACGTGTTATGAGGCGACACAGCATTTTGACGTATATATAATCTAAGGCGATTTTGATGATTAAATGGTGAAAGTTTTACTTCCAACGGAACAATGGTCCATAACAATTTTATGTTTTTTGAAATCTAAAGAATCGATATTCATTTAAACATGTCTATCTTTTAGGCTTGAATTTGTAAAAAAAAGTGCACATTATGGAAAAGACGTTTACAAAATTATATCAAAACTACTTACAGCACTTGCCTGATTATTATCGGGGCTCTTTTCATAAACAAATGAAAAACGTCATTTGGGCAGGCTTTATACACAACGCTGCAGTATCGCCTGTGGTTCCATACTGATTTTTCTCTTCGTGGGTTTAAATTATTTAGCGCTAGATTTGACCGTACGTGTGTGCTTGAAACAAGCCTAACTTATATAAAAATAGTGAGAATGCTTGTTTATTTGTGAGAACTCAGAATAAAAGTATCTAACCGAAAGTAAAGTAAAGTATATAAGTAAAGTATATAACCGAATAAGAGAGCAACCGCACGAGCTGAGTACACAAAATGTAAAAACTCGTTTACAGAGGCTACGCTCTCTAATTAAATAAGTCAGGCAATGTAACAGTACAGAACGGGCCGCATAAAGCAGCCTCACTGCGGCAATTACTCTTCAACTACCGGAATAATGCAGACATGTGGGTAGTTCTGCAGTGCAGTGCTCACTGAATGTGATTAAGTCGAGTGTTCACTAAAACGTTGATGAGAGGGTTACAAACAGAAACTACCTGATGGTTAGAGAAATTCTGAATACGATGACGTAAAATAATTTTCTACTTCAAGTTCTGTGTTAAATTTAGAGACATAAAAAGGGTAAAAACTGTCTCGCACATTGAAGAGATCAAAACACATTAACTGAAAGATAAGGATTTTTTGAGAAACATTTCCCAAAACCTAATAATTTGCTAGCCTAAAAAAAGTGAAGTAAGGTAACAGCGTATACATGTCCCACTGCTGGGCAAAGGCCTCCTCTGCAGTGACTCCACTGCGGATTGGCGGACTTCACATATCTTCCAAATATTTTTGTTTGTTATTATTAGGCAAATATGCAGGTTTCCTCATGATGTTTTCCTTCAATGCAGAGCACGTGATAAGTCAGCTCTTAAAATTAACAATTTCATCAACTCATATTGTTGAGGTGAATTTCTTGAACCCTATTTCAGACCTGAACAGCCGTGAGTTGTCGACTTCTTAGCATTGCACCCGCGATGAGTAGGTTTTCTCGTATAGCCAGTACAC